ACTAGATTTTCAATAAACTCAGGGATTCATCATGCTAGGTAAACTCATTACCACAGAGCAACAATACAATTCCTAGAGCAGATTTTTTTGTTTGTTTGTTTGCTTTGTTTTGGTTTTTGGAGACAGGGTTTCTCTGTGCTTAACTGTCCAGGAACTAGCTCACATAGACCAGGTTGGCCTTGAACTCAGAGATCCGCCTGCCGCGGTCCCGAGTGCTGGGATTAAAGGTGTGCCACCACCATTTGATAAAAAGCAGATTTTTAAGAAACATTATTCTAAGACATTCTATGAATAACGAAATTGAAAAAGACACACAAAATACTAAAATGTGTACCTTGCAATCTCTTTGTTAACTCTGGTCCTCATTTCATCTTCTTCAACGGCACTTGCCCAGTCAGAACATCTAGAACGGGGCTTAGGGCCTTCAGGAGTTGTAAAGCTACAATAAAGGGAAAATGCATTTAAATGAGTACTTTATCTCAGTTTCTGAGGAAAGAGTATGACACTGCTTTGGCAAGGAAACAGGTGAGTTTAGGCAATTTCTCAGTCTTCTGGACATCAGACAGCTACCCACCCACTGAGTCAGTGCTGGATTATGGGACCCGTCTACTGAGAAAGCAGGAAGGTAAATAAATGGTCAGTACCAAGAAGAGTACCTGCTACGGAACTTGACTTTTTGTTCTGAAAACAGTCTCATCATATAGTCTTGAAAACTCTCCTGCCTCAGCTATCTCGTAAGTGCTAGAAAGATAAGTGTTAGTGACGATATCTGGCTCCACTGTGCTAGCTGTAAAGAAGGTATTATAGAATTTTTTTTTCTTTCTTTTTTTTTTTTTTTTGGTTTTTCGAGACAGGGTTTCTCTGTGGCTTTGGAGCCTGTCCTGGAACTAGCTCTGTAGACCAGGCTGGTCTTGAACTCACAGAGATCCGCCTGCCTCTGCCTCCCGAGTGCTGGGATTAAAGGCGTGCGCCACCACCCCCGGCTTTTTTTTTTCTTTTTTGAGACAGAGTTTCTCTGCATAACAGTCCTGGAACTCACTCTATAGACCAGGCTGGCCTTGAACTTGCAGAGATCCACCTGCCTCTGCCACCTGAGTGCCAGGATTAAAAGCATGTATACCAAGTTCTGCCTGCAAGCCAGAAGAGGGCACCAGATTTCATTACAGATGGTTGTGAGCCACCATGTGGTTGCTGGGAATTGAACTCAGGACCTCAGGAAAAACAGCCTGTGCTCTTAACCTCTGAGCCCATTATTATGTATTTTTAAGATTCCAAATAACAAAATGCATAATGCTAAACACTGTGACCAATCCAGTGAGACTCCAACAAAACAGATGAGGTTTACCTTACAGATATACAAGACTCACAACACTTATAGATACCACAATTACAATGTGGAAAAGGTGAGAATGAGTCTTGTGGATATAATTTTTTTTTTTTTTTTGAGACAGGATCACCAGGCTGGTCTTGAACTCAGCCTACTGCCTCTGCCTCTCAAGTGCTGGAGTTAAAGTCATGTGCCACCATGCCTGGCAGCTCTAACTTTTATTTTACTAAGAATTAGTCTACCATGACAGGCAGTGGTGGTGCACACAGAGTTCTAGGACAGTCAAGGCTACACAGAGAAACACTGTCTCAAAAACAAACAAACAAACAAAAAACAAACCAAGGAGCTGGAGTGATGGTTTAAGTGGTTAAGAGCACTGGTTGCTCGTCCAGAGGTTCTGAGTTCAGTTTCCAGCAACCACATGGTGACTCACAACCGTCTATAATAGGATCAGACTCTTTCTTCTGGTGCTCATGAAGAGCATGCATACACATAAAATACATGAATAAACAAATCTCTTTAAAAAAAAAAAACAAATACAAAGGCCAATGAACAGAAGCATTCCTGCCTCTGGTACAATGAAGTGGACAAGTGGTGACCTATGAACCAGGGGTCCTGATACCATGACCTAGAGAATTTAGGATTCTAACTTTTGGGGCTGTAGATGGCTCAGCAACTAAGAATGCTTGTTGTTCTTTTAGAGGACATGGTTCAGCACACACATGACAACTCACAATCACCCATAAATCCCATTTCAGGGGATCCAATGCCCCTTTCTCCACAAGCACCAGGCACACGTTATATACTTTATATGACAAAACACTCATATACATAAATAAATCTAGTCTGGGATAGCAGCACATGCCTTTAATCCTAACACTTGAGAGGCAGGTGGACCCAAACTCAAGGCCAGCCTGATCTACCTACTGAGTTCCAGGACAGACTTTTCTTTAATAACCTAACATTTTGTCTTCAGATAACCAAGACCATGACAGGGCTCAAATCATCTCAATAAGGTTTTCTGTTTTCAATTGCCCAGGCTAGTCTCAAATTCACTACGCAACAAAGACAGACCTTGAACTTTTGATCCTCTTGCTTCTACTCCCTGAGCACTACTGGGATTAGATACATAGTGTCAACTCCCCCTTTACCTACCTTAGGGCTGTCCTCTGCTATACTCCCAGAACTAATCCACAATCTTCAAGCATGTGCTGGTAACCCACATTACACCTGACAGCCTCCCCAAACTTAAGCAGATTCCCTCCCAAGAGAGATCTGCCCACCCACGGCTGCAGCTACCCTGGAGACTGACTGGAATCAGAGATGGTCAAGTGTTTCAAACAGTCTGACTCTTTTTCAAATAAATTATTTTCATTTCATAAGTACTCATGTCTTGCCTGCATGTATATCTGTGTGAAGATGCCAGGTCCCCTGAAAACTGGAGTTATAGGCAGTTATGAGCTGCCATGTGGGTGCTGGGAATTGAACCCAGTTTCTATGGAAGTGCAGCCAGTGTTCGTACCCGCTGAGCCATCTTTCCAGCCCCGGATCTGCCTTCTCTGCCCTCGATCAGCACTGCCTGTGTATTCAGAAGTCTGAATTCCACACCACCCTCACGTCCCTTCACTGGGCTCAGCAGCCCTGTCCTCATCTTCCCTTCTAGTCAGCTGGCTAGAGGGCATCTATCCCTACAGAAAAGCATGGTCCAAACTCTGAGATCACTTTCCTCTTCAGTCATCACACAAAGGTTCCCCCAGACAGCACTTCCCTGAGCAGTCCACACAAGCAGCTCACTCTTCAGACACTCCTGGTGTCTCTAAATTACTACTTGACTTGTTGGCACACCTCTGTGAGGCTACCGAGAGACCTTGTTGATTTCAGCAGGGCCTCACTTTAAAAACAAACAAAACACCAAAACCCCGTGGCAAAATCAGATGGAAAGGACCCAGGTACATCGCAAAGAATGAGTGATCCTGGAATTCAACTTTGGTTTGCATCTGGCTTTCACTCAGGTATTAAAACCTAATTTTTTTTTCTGTCTCTGTCGCCCGTGTGTGTGTGTGTGTGTGTGTGTGTCGAAACATTTTAACAAGGTGTTCAAATAGTAGTGCCTGACACTATCTATGCGCGAAGACTATAAAGGCTTCCCGACTCCGGATAAAACCAGTTTTGCTGCCACCTATCAGTTACTGCTAAGATGCTTCGAGAACTGAGTAAAAATAAAAAGAACCCAGAGGCACCTAAATTATTCCAACGTCTAAAAAGCGAGAGCAATGGGATGAGGGTCCCTTGGCCCTCCTCCAGACCCACCGAGTGACCAACCAGTTTCCACCCGGCCAGGGCCCACCTTTCAGGTCGACGGTCCGCAATCTGGCGCTCGCTTTCCTCGGAGCCCTCGATCTTCCGGTCCCCTCCGTCCGCTCTGCGCTTCCGTCCGAGGCTCCATCTCGCCGGGGACCGCGGGCTGAGGACACAGACTGCAGTCAGTGGGCGGGGCCCCACAAGCCCGGGTGGTTCAGGGACCCTAGCCTCACAGACAACCCGATACGGAGGATTTGTAGACCGCACGCCCGCTTACCTTGCACCGCCGTCGCGGCGGCTTCCATACCGGGGTGGGCTTCGAGGTCTGCAGGCCATGGCGGCAGAGGGCCAGAGAGCGGTTCAGCAGCACTGACCTCCCTCGGCGACGGCGCTGACGAGGTCTGAGCTAGCCCTGCCCAACCGCCCTTAAGAGAGCAGCGGCCCCGCCCCTCGGCAACTCCCGCGCGCGCGCGGGGTCGGACGAAACCATCGGGCGTCCCCCTGTAGGGGAGTCCTTCTCGGCTCTGCGCGCCCCGCTGGCGGACCCGGCTCCGACCTAAGCCTCGAAACTGCAGGCAGTCGCCAAACTCCAACGCCTGATGCAGTCGCCCAGAAGGGCGGGAAAAATGCGACAGCCCGACTAAAGTGGAAAGGAACTGGCGGCCCCCGACGGCCTTCCAGGAGGCTGGCGCTGTAGCTGCAGCGTCTCTGATTGGTTGCGTCTTCGCGGGCCCAAGGAGTATTGGCGGGAGATTGGGCAGTGCGCGCCACTGCCAGTCAAAGTGGGCAGGCGTGGCCAAGTCGCTGGTGTGGGCCGGAAGGCGGAAGACGTAGACCTGGTCCGGGACCGGCCCCTCCTACCCGCCTCCACAATACTCCCGGGGCGCCCGCTTGTAATTTAAACCCATAACTTTGAAGGCAAGGCTTGCGAAAGCTCCCTTGGTAGCCAGCACACTCAGCGGTTTTTCCTCTCCAAGGTTATCTGGACTCTGGTGCCGCCTTCTCTGCTTGAGTCACCAGCGCGAGGGCCGAGCCCCTGCAGACCCCACTATCCTAGTCGCAGATGGTGTAGGCAGCCGCGACTCTACCTTAAGGGTGGACCTGGCCCAGAGCATCGCGAAAGAGGGTGGATTGGGGCGAGAGCGGCGAACTATGTAGTTCATTGAAGGCCAGCGTGCCCAACCATTGAGCACTGTTGTCTGGAATGCCAGCCCTGTTTTCCTTTCCGAACGCACTATAAACACTGACACTAATTTCTAATATGGCTTTCTGGTCTATATCCATACTCATCTCACTTTCCCAACATCCCCAGCCACTACCCCAAATGCTGCAAAAGTTTGGCTTCACTGCCAGGTAAATAAAATAAAGTACATCACTTGGAAAGTAACACTTTATTAAATATTGTGTCATTTTGCGACATTTACATTTATCATTATAAAATTAACTTCTCTGTGGTTAAAAAATAAAATAACCTCAAACCATTTGGCCCCTGATAGGTGGCCCTTGAAACTGGGTGACTCCTGGCCATGCTTCAGGACAGGCAGAATTGGGCTTCCTCTGCTAGCAAATCCCTCGAGTTAGGTGCAGTGTTGACTGGGTAAAAGGCTAGTTTGGTCTGTCACTACTGCTTGAAGCAGGCAAATGTAGGAGCTTCAGGGCCACAAGCTGAAGGAAAGTTCTCCCTCCTGTAGCTTGTGTCAGAGATGGAAAGTAAAGGGCAGCCTCTCCCCCGCCCACCTGCACTACAGATATGAATGGTATGTCCATCAGAACCGTGACCACTGAGGTACCCTCTCCTGATCCAAGCAACCCACAAGGGCTCTAGCTAACCCTGTACTGCATCCCTGGTGGGTTTCTTTCTGGATACTGTTGTGGCTTTCCGGTTCTTTCCTAGGGCCAGGAGTATGAGATCTTGGCCTCCCCTGGACTAAAGAAGCAAGAGAAGACACCAAAAGCACTGTGGGCCCTCTAAAGCATATGCAACCCTCATGAGTAACTGGCCTGGCTCTAGGTTGTTGCTCCTGCCTCCCTACCCAGAAGTGGTCCCTCGGCTGGCTGTAGAAAAGGACTTCGCACTGGAGTGGCACCACTGGTAACCCTCTCAACTGTCAACATCTACCCAACATCACACAGGCTCTGGGACAGATGTAGGTCTGGCTTATAACTCTCAGGGTTCTGAGGGGCAGATATGATCTGTGATAGAATTAAGGCAAACCGGCCAATGAAAACTCTAGGTCAAATTCCAACATCTTGGAACTTTGGAGCAATCTATGTGAAATATCAGCCCCACCTGGAGGTAAGTAGGGCGAGAAGATGCTCAAGGTATGGGATAGGACATTTCCATGAGAACTTCTCAATCAAAATCCTCAACCTACCACAGATTCAAGGCAGAGAGTGGCTGTAGATACTTGTGTGCTTTGACTAGAACCTTTGCCAAGGTCAAGGAGCTTTAGCTGCTCCTCATAAGTGGCTAGTGGAGACACAGAATAGGCTGTGATGGTCAGCGTATACAACACACATCCAGGATGCAGAAGCGGGCACGGCAAGTAGGGCAGGGCACGCGGCTGGCCAGCCAAGTGTCAGGGCGCTGGGGATCCTGGCGGCTGGCAAACCATTTGCCCATGCAAGTGAGACACCACATGGGACGGCAGTAACACTGCTGGCACTCGCCCACCGCTGGCTCCTGGCAAGTCTTCACCAGCTTCACACTGGCCCGTGTCTGCATGCAGCCTATGCAGGCCTCGAGCTCCTACAGAGAGGTAGATGAACAAAAGGGGTTACAAAAAGGCCTACAAGATGGTTCTAGGAGAAAGGAGAGGTACCCCTCCATACACAACTTCCCACTTGGGCCAGCCCCCACCTGGTTGCTGGGCACTGAATAGGCTGGGTTGACCTCCACCAGCGACGCAAATGTTTCTAGGAAGAGGTCACCCAGGCTCTGGCGGATAACCACATTGGCTGCACTTCGGATTGGTGCGTGGAGTTTCTCACATAGTTCGCCATATTCTGCTGAGTTCAGCCTGGAAGAGGCATGGCTTGATGAGCTGAGCCAATCTGCCCATGGATCCACAACCTAAAGCCACCCAGAACCAAAAATAGGCAAGGCCAGGGAAAACAACCATCTCAGTGAAGTAGCCACTAAAGATGGCCCTATAGGCAGTCTCCTCATCCCCAATAGAGGATAGGAAGAGCCTGGAGCTGAGGTACCACCAATCTTCATTTCTAGATGATCTCAAGAAGCTGGAGGGACAGCTCGATGAAAGGCAGAAGGAACAGCGAAGAGAACACTGAAGACAAGAGGGGTCTTGAAGGAAGACGGCTCTAAAGGGGTCAACTGACTGAAGTCATATAGGCCCAGGAGTAGCTCAGTCCTGCTCCACCCTCACTCAGCACCTCATAAGAGGTTCATGAAGAGCAGACAGTGAAAGTCTTGTGCCATCCAGAACCACCACACACTTACCGAATATCAAAGGGCTGCATAGCAGGGCTGGTGCTGGCCACACGTATGGTAAGAAGCTGCACAGGTAGGTTTGAGTCTGGTGAGAGATCATGCTGCCGAGACTCTGTCACAGTCAAGTGAACATCCTGTTGCTGAGCCACACGCACACGGTATGTTGTCACCTTCATTACCCATGTGTCTGTCACAATCACTCTAGCACCGGGTGCCCCAGTAGCAAACTTGTCAATCCGCCGGAACTCCGTGTTGATGGAAGAGGCAACCGCTTGCCAACCTGACTGCGGAAGGGCATAGAGTGCCAGGGTTTGGGCCAGTGGATGTCGGGTCCACTTGTCCCAGGACCAATAGTAGATCAGGGTACAGGAGACAAGGGGAAGGGTCACGGCCAGGAGAAGGAAGAGCTGCCAGGCCTCTGAGGCCTGACCAGGGGAGTAGAGCTGCTTTTCTGAAGCTGCAAAGCACATGCCCATGTAGTAGCCTGCAGAAGAAAAGACATCTCAGGGCAAGCCCAGGCTGTGGGGTGCTACCTTCCTCCCGTGGTGACCCATCTGAAGACCACAGTGTTAGCTCTGTGCTTGGGGGAAGGGAGAAGCTACCTCTTTTTTATCGCCAGCTCTGAGTCTTGCCCTGGAACCTAGAGCATGGTTAGCTCCCAGAACATATCACCCTGACTCCTGCACCTCCACAACTGGCCTGCCTCAGCCTTAGTCACAGCAGTGGTACCACATTCTAGAGGAACATGTTTGCAATCTACTACTACTATTTCACAGGAACTGCCAAGTAGGAAAAAAAAAATCAAAGTTGCTGGGCAGTAGGGGCACACGCCTGTAATCCAAATACTTGGGAGGCAATGGCACGCGGATCTCTGTGAGTTTGAGCCAGCCTGGTCTAAAGTGCTTGTTCTGGAACAGCCAGAGCTACACAAAGAAACCCTATCTCAAAAAACAAAACAAAAGTCCTAGAAAAAAGGACTGTGAGTTTGAGGTTAGTGTGGTCTACAAAGGGAGTTCCAGGACAGCCAGAGTTGTTACACAGAGAAACCCAGTCTGCAGAACCTCCCCGTCCCACACACAACAAAATAAATAAAAACCAAAGGAAACACATGACTGCGTAGAACTGACCACAGGCCTATCTAAGGCAGTTCTTTGGCCTACATCTTGGTCTCTTAACTTCGCATCCTCTGAGGAGGCAGATCCAACATAGCCCATTTCAGAGCTGGGACACTATACAAGAAAGTAAGCAAGAAGAAAAAAGTAAGCAAGTACTCAATGACTGGGCATTTGTAAGAACAAAGGAACCAGTTTTAGGGCCCTGTTGGCCCAACAGGGAACAACTCAAACATGGAAAAGAATTATAAAGTAGATGGTAAGGTACTGTATGGGCAGGCTCCAATCTGCCATAACCAACAGTAAATGTTGACTCTGAGCCACCTCACTACATGTCAAACTAACTTGTTATGGTTATACAGCAACAAAAGCCAGCTCCACTGTCTGCCTGTTCTCAATATAACTGCCATGGGTGACTTGTGCTTACTAACATCCGGATCCTTGTTGGGGGATGGGAGTGCCTATGAGATGAGCTAGGGGGCGTCCAAATATCCAGAGACAGCCCTTGGTTAGGGGTCCTGCCTTAGAGCCCCACCTTCTGTATCTGCCTTACAGGGCACTACCCGGCCATGCCAGCTCCATCTCCAGTTCTCCAATGGGGTAACCTAACGCACCTTCCTCTCAAAACAAGCCCAAGTGTTTCTATTACCACACCTGCCTCCACCTCCCTGGAGCCCAGGCTGCTGTATCCTCACACCAATCATTCCTGTGCCCAGAACCACAAATATGTCAGGCCATCAGACATCAGTTCTCCCAGACCTGCCTTTCCGTGTCCCTGTATCCTCCAGAGGTCTCCTTCATCTGGTTCCTAGCCTCCAATCCCTGCTCTATCCCAGCAGTTCCCCTAACGCATCCTCCAAACAGCTGACAGATGGGCCTCTCAGAGTTCTCACTGGCCTGGCAAAGATGACTGCAACCACTGTTCCCAACCTTGACCGTCTTCACCTCTGCCCGCTCTCGCCACGCCCACCTTCCCCTGGCAGCCCTCCGACTCCTGTTGTAAGGAGTCAACAGGAGCCCTTTCCTAGAAACCGCCCAACATGGCAAACACGCTGAACGACTCTGCACTCTATTCACAGCGACGTAAAACACCGGGGTCCGGCCCTGCCCGAGCATCCCTCGCAGACCAGCGCCTGGGCCGTCGCCTCCCAACCGGGAAGAGCGCTCGGCTTACAGCCTGAGCTGCGGGGACCCCGATCGCTTGCACCTCCGTTGACCCGCATCTGTGCCGCTTCCGGCGGGGAACCTCCTCAGTCTCGGAATGCCCGGCTAAGCGCCAACCACTGGCCGGCGCTCAGGAGGCTCACCCAGCGGCAGCAGTGAGTGACACAGTAGCGTGGCGGAAGTGCGACGAAGGTGATAGGGCACGAAAGCGGCATCCTCGCTGCCCAGCCAGCCCGACAACAGGTTCTGCACGGTGAGCCCGGCCGAGTAGAACTCGTTGGGCGTGAACACGAAGCACACGGCGAAGACCAGGTAGGCCAGAGTGAAGGTCATCTCTGGGCTGTCCATCGCGACACCGCTCACCGCGCCGGTAAGAGACCGGCGTCCAGTTCCGGACAGTTGGTAGGTTGTCGCCGCCACCGCAAAGCCGCCCGCGAGGCACTCTGGGAGACGGAGTTCAAGTCAAACCGCCCGAGGGGCATTCTGGGAGACTGAGACACGCCTATCAAGGGGCCCGCAAAGCATTCTAGGAGATGGAGTCCCGCCTGAGTCTGCCCGCGGGGTCCTGGGGGGGGGCAGGGGACAGTTTCCCCATCGAGTGACGCGAAGACCACTCTGGAAGACAGTCTCGTTAGGCCGCCCCGGGCACTCTGGGGAGACCCTCGGAACCCCGCGCCGACCCACAAATCGTGAGCCACCCAGAGACCCCCTGCATGAGTGCATCCTCTCCCTTACAAGCAGCTCGGAGAAGACACTGCAGCTGGTTCTATTTAAAGGCTGAGAAAAGCCAAGCCAGGGCGAACTGCTGTCTGACCGCCTTCGCGGCCGACCCTGATACTGTCGGGGCGATGGTGGACACCACAATGTCCGGCCACCGACTAGCCGACTTGGCCTGCAGTGCTAACCTGTGGTTCCTACGCGTCCCGAGAGCTCCCACTGTGCCCTCAATCCCGGAAGCGGAACTGCCTGCGCGAGAAGGGCGGGACCAGGACGGCCTGCTATTGGCAGCCCGCGGCTGTGGCGTTCTAGTCCTGCCGCGCGCTGATTGGCCGCGGAACGTCAACTCTCGGTATTTGAATCTGGGGCGGGCTCACTCAGCGGCCGTCGGTCACGGACTGCGAGAGTAGAGCCGGTTGGAATTCTTTCATCTCGGTTTCTCTAGCTCGGATTCCTAGCGTGGAGCAGGGACGCCGCTCCTCCCTTGCGGTGGGCGTCGGCGCGGGCCCTCAGCGGTAGGCAAGTAAAGGGCGACCCACGTCCCGCGGGCGAGGGGTGGGGATCAGCCCCGCGGATCTGGATTCCTACTGCCTGGGTTGTGGCTTTCATCCGCAGCTCCTTTCTCTCTCTCTCTCTCTCTCTCTCTCTCTCTCTCTCTCTCTCTCTCTCTCTCTCTCTCTCTCTCTCTCTCTCTCTCTCTCTCTCTCTCTCTNCTCTCTCTCTCTCTCTCTCTCTCTCTCTCTCTCCCTCTCTCCCTCTCTCTGTCTCTCTCTGTCTCTCTCTCTCTTTCTTTGTTGTTGTTGTTGTTGAGGGCCCACCCCTGGCTCACCCAGCCCTCTTTTCTGGGCTAACGGATCCCTCAAGCTTCCTAGGCAGGATTGATGCCTGCGGGCTGCATTCCGGATTGGACCGTGCAGGCCGGCCTGCCAGTGATCTCGGTCTGACCCAGCTGACGTCCTCCAAAGAGGCCGCGCGTAACTATCTCCTTAGGTTCCTGTTCTTGTCGAGTGTGTCGTGTATGAGACTTGCGTTTCGGAGCCAGGACATCGGCCCAGGTCTCTTTCTTCCACCTTTTCTGCAAAACTGTTCTGTCTATTGTCTGTCGTTCTGAACCCCCTGTCCCAGGGACAGTTTCTTGTTCCTCGGCCACTGCCTTCGAGTCGGTCTGCTCCCTCTCCCACCCCACAATTAATTACTCCTGCACCAAAAAACAGCAGAACCCAATTCTGACTTGTCAAGCTTTGTACCAAGAGCTCCCTCCAGGGGCTGGGGATATGACTCAGCCAGTAACACGCTTGTCAAACAAGCATGAGGACCTGAGTTCAGGTCCTCAGCACCCACCTAAAAATTGTGTGGCATGGCTGTACCTGCCTGTAATCCTAGCACTGGGCAGGCCGACTGGAGAATCTCTGAAGCTTACTGGCTAGACAGATAATCTTGCTGAATCAGTGAACTCCAGGTTCAGTTAGAGAATCCAATATGGTAGAGAGCAATTGAAGAAAACTCACGTCAACCTTTGGCCTCCTCTTTACACAACACCCCCCCCCCCAAAAAAATCCACAAAAATCCCATTCTAAGCAAAAACTATACCAGCAGTTCTCCACCTTCTTGCCAGAAAGACTTCACCTAAGCCCATACAGCCCAGAGGCCTATGCTTGAATTCTACAGCCATTCCACCGCCCTTTCCCCATGCTTGCTTTTTTTTTTTTTTTTTTTTTTTTTTTTTTTTGACCAGGACCTAGGACTGAATGTGTCCTTCCTGTTACTTGATGCTGTCAAGCTCTAAAAAATATTACTAAATTTGGGTGTGGTGGCACTCACCTTTTTTTTTTTTACATTTTTAATTGATATTTATTGAGCTCTACATTTTTCTCTGCTCTGCTCCCCTCCCTGCCTTTCCCCTTCCCACTTCAACCCTCCCCCAAGGTCCACATACTCACAATTTACTCAGGAGATCTTGTCTTTTTCTACTTTCTACTTCCCATGTAGATTAGATCTATGTAAGTCTCTTAGTGTCCTCATTGTTGTCTAAATTCTCTGGGATTGTGATTTGTAAGCTGGCTTTCTTTGTTTTAAGTTTAAAAACCACCTATGAGTGAGTACGTGTGATAATTGTCTTTCTGTGTCTGGGTTACCTCACTCAAAACAATGTTTTCTAGCTCCATCCATTTTCCTGCAAAATTCAAGCTGTCATTTTTTTTCTGCTGTGTAGTACTCCATTGTGTAAATATACTACATTTTCCTTATCCATTCTTTGGTCGAGGGGCATTTAGATGGTTTCCAGGTTCTGGCTATGACAAGCAAAGCTGCTATGAACATAGCTGAGCACATGTCCTTGTGGAACGATTGAGCATACTTTGGATATATACCCAAAAGTGGTATTAGTAGGTCTTGAGGAAGGTTGTTTCCTAATTTTCTGAAAAATCTCCACACTGACATCCAAAGGGCTTGTACCAGCTTGCATTCCCACCAGCAATGCAGAAGTGTTCCCTTTTCCCCACAACCTCTCCAGCATAAGTTGTTATCAGTGTTTTTGATTTTGGCCATTCTTACAGGTGTAAGATGGAATCTCAGAGTTGTTTTGATTTGCATTTCTCTGATGACTAAAGATGTTGAACATTTCCTTAAGTGTCTTTCAGCCATTTTAGATTCCTCTGTTTAGAGTTCTCTGTTTAGGTCTGTACTCCATTTTTTTTATTGGATTATGTGTTCTTTTGGTGTCCAATTTCTTGAGTTCTTTGTATATTTTGGAGATCAGACCTCTGTCTAATGTGGGGTTAGTGAAGATCTTTTCCCATTCTGTAGGCTGTCGTATTGTCTTGTTGACCATGTCCTTTGCTTTACAGAAGCTTTTCAGTTTCAGGAGGTCCCATTTATTGTTTCTCTCAGTGTCTGTGCTGCTGGGGTTATATTTAGGAAGTGGTTCCCTATGCCAATGTGTTCAAGTGTACTTCCCACTTTCTCTTCTATAAGGTTCAGTGTGGCTGGCTTTATGTTGACCCATGTTTTCTAATAACCAGTTTTTCAGGCCAAAAATCCTAAACATTGCTCTTAATTTCGTTTCTCCTTACCCCATGTCCTATGCACCTTGCTGAGCAACCTAGACTACCTCTCTTTGACTCCAGGGACCTCTGGTTCTGTCCTTTTCCCTCCCATCTTTTCTCATGGGCTCCTAAAGCAGAGTCAGCAGCAACTTATCTTTGTGATGACCTTCCTCCCCAGTACCCCTTCTCACACTTCAACCAGAGAGCTCCCAGGGTTTCACCCCCAAGAACCTATACTCCTCTGCCTCTACCTCCGCTTCCCAAGTGTTGGGATTAAACGTATGCAGCACTACTGCTCGGCTTCTCTGGTTTTCTTAGAGCCAGGATTACATCCCCTAGTTCTTGCCCTACAGTGTAATACGTTAATGGAAGTCATTTTGAACACCTGGATCTCTTTCTTTCTCAACCTGAACTCTATTAGTAATTGACTCAGGAGGTGCAGTATACCTGATACAATACAAGGGACTCAGGCTTTCTCTGGCTGGTGACACCTACTTGAAGTACTAATTGTACCTGTGAAGGGTCTAGCTCTACCTGTTCAGGAAGGGGTACCTCCCTGATGTATTTATGGGGCATTTCTGTACATGTACTGCAGCATCATTGATTTCCTAAGGACTAAAACACATTCTGTTTAGCCAGGCCATGGTGGTGCACACCTTTATTCCCAGCACTTGGGGGGCAGAAGCAGGCTGATCTCAGTGAGTTCAAGGCCAGTTTGGTCTACAAGAGCTAGTTCCAAGGACAGCCAGGACTGTTACACAGAGTAACTTTGTCTCAAAAGAACCAAAAATAAATAAATAAATAAACTTTTTTTTTTCTTTTTCAGAATGAGTCTGCATATCTTAAATGACGAAAATGTCCCCAGTGAAAAAAGTTCAGAAAGCTGTGACTTCCTGTTTTCACAACCGGAACTTACCGGAAGATCCTCTGTTCTTCGTCTGTCACAGAAAGAAAATGTGCCACCCAAAAACCAGGCTAAAGCTGCCAAGGTAAATGGGGACTGTAATGTAAGTACTTCAGGTGCTCTGGGGGTGGCTTTCTGAGCACCTTGGCTTGCATGGGAGGCTTGTATCATGGAACATGTACACTCTCCTCAACCTTTCACTAGGTGACTTTTCAGACACCTCTTCGGGATCCACAGACGCACAGGATCTTAAGTCCTAATATGACCAACAAACTCGAGACTTCTTTTGCTCTGGATGGTGCTGTTGAATTAGAAAACAATCAATGTGTCTGCTTACAGGAAGAGAAGTAAGTGTTGATGCCATTAATGTCCTGTGAGTCTATCCTCTCTGGGGTTCTTGCAAAAGCCTTCAGTCCTGTCATCATAGCTAGACTTTTTTTCTCTGATCATGGCCCTAAGTGCAGAATCTGGCATAGTTAGTGGAGAGCCAATGATCAGATGGTTGGACTGTTTTCATTCCATGCTGGAATCTCTTTTTCTAGAACTAGATGGAATGACTAAATCTCATTTCCAGAAAAGTTTATAGTTTCCTTCCTATGGCGTTCTGCTCATCTCTCCCTTCTACTTGAAATCAGCACTTCCCTCCCACACTCAACACTTGGAGAGAGCAGATAGAGCTCATAGACAGAGAAATTACCGTATGATCAACTAATCGAAGCTTGTGAGATGACTCCCTTGGTACTGTTTGCTACACAAGCATGAGGGCCTGAGTTCAGTCCTCAGTACCTACATTTTTAAAAGCCAGAACATGGGCTGGAAAGATGGCTCATTGGTTAAGAGCACTAGCTACTCTTCTAGAGATCTTGAGTTCAATTCCCAGCAACCACATAGTAGCTCGCAACCATCTGTAATGAGATCTGATGCCCTCTTCTGGTGTATGTGAAGACAGGATTCATGTACATAAAATACATAGATAAATAGATAAGTCTTTAAAAAAAAAAAAGCCCAGAACTATACTCTAGCCCTAGTGAGGTGGACACAGGAGAATCTTTGGGGCTCTCTGGCCAAATCAGTGACCTCCAAGATATAAAGTGGAGAATGGTTGAGAAAGATACATCAAGTGTTGACTTCTGGCTGATTAGGCATACGCACATACATATGTATAAATGTACATACACCACGCATGCACAATGTGCACACACATCCACATATCAGCATGTAAACATTCACAAAAGAGGAACTAGTAAGAACAGATGTGGCTGAAAGGATGGGGAGAAGCTTCATCCATAGGTGCATTAGGCATTTTCCTGGCAGGAATCCTACTGAAATGACAAGCAGCTACTAAGGCTTTACCTAGAAAGAAGGGTCTTGGAATTAGCACTTCGCCAATCTGGTACCAAGGACACATTTTATCCAGGACAGGAAAGGTCTCTGGTATGATTTTGTTCTGTTTTTACTGATTCCACTGTTTAAAATTTGTGTGTGTGTGTGTGTGTGTGTGTGTGTGTGTGTAAGCATGAGGAATAAAATGTCACTCCTGTGCTCTTTAGTGTCACGACCTTTCTCTGGGGTTGTATACATTTCAGTCCTATTAAATCACCCCTAGTTCTGTTGTTTAAGTGTCTTTGTTAATTTACAGTTTCATTTTGTATTTTTCTGAAGTTCAGTCAGATGAGGTTGGTGTTTAAGTCAAACACTGTTAGTCTATAACAGCCTGAGAAACACAGAGCCGGCAGTTGGCACTTGGCTGCTATGAATGTAGCCTACTTTGAGGCCAAGGAAGTTTTTGTCTCTACCTGTACTGCTGGGAGGGTAGCTCTGAGTAGCACCAGTTATGAGTGTCACTTATGAGCTTATTCTTGGTAGCCTAGGCATGCACGAATCATGTTGCCATTCATTAATTTTAAGATACTCTGGGGGAGGCCGGGCAGTGCTGGCGCACGCCTTTAATCCCAGCACTTGGGAGGCAGAGGCAGGCGGATCTCTGTGAGTTCGAGACCAGCCTGGTCTACAAGAGCTAGTTCCAGGACAGGCTCCAAAGCCACAGAGAAACCCTGTCTCAGGGGGAAAAAAAAAAAACACTCTGGGGGGCTAGAGAGATGGCTTAGAGGTTAAGAGCACTGGCTGCTCTTCCAGAGGTCCTGAGTTCAATTCCCAGCAACCACATGGTGGCTCACAACCATCTGTAATGAGATCTGGCGCCCTCACACATGCAAACAGAATACTGTATACATAATAAATAAAATCTTCCAAAAAAAAAATGAGATACTCTGCTGAGTATGAACACTAAGGACGGCACAAACCCAGGTGCTACCCAGGTGGTAGCTCATGGCGCTCATTTGGTAGAGGGTGGGGAAACGACCAGAGTGATGAGCTAGGTACTTGATATATCGGGGACTATCTTCTAGTGTGGCCAAGGTCCCAACCTATAGGTGGTGTGGCAGTCCTTCAGTTCTTGTCTTATGAAAGAATGGATTCAGTCAAGAGGGACAGAGGTGGGGTTGAGAGATGGCTCAGAGGTTACGAGCACTGACTGTTCTTCCAGAGGTCCTGAGTTCAATTCCCAGCAACCACATAGCGGCTCACAACCATCTGTAATGAGATCTGGTGCCCTCTTCTGGCCTGCAGGGATACATGCAGGCAGGTGCTGTATACATATTAATAAATAAATCTTTAAAAAAAAAAAAGAGGGATAGAGGCAATTTAAGTAGGAGTGTATTTAGCACAGAACAGTTCAGTTAGTAAAGCTAAGCAGAACACTCCAGACCTGATTTATACGGCCTCAGCCTGCCCCAGGAGTGTAGAGAGCCTTGAGCCAGCAGCATGCACCCAGACCCTTTCCATTTGTGTTCATCTAGTTCTAAGAACTCAGTCCCACTGGCCCTCTTAGGGAGATGGGGCCACAGACCCAAGTCCTCAAGAAGAACCCACTGGCCAAATGTCATCCATTCAAGTCATGACTCCATAAGGCTACAATTTGACTTCTCTGATGATACCACCAACACAAAGGTGTCTTCACCAAGGAGACTGGCAGAGAGACCTGGCCTCCAGCCTCTCCTGAAGAAATCAGAGTCCAGCCAGGAGCAGGCCCCCAAAGAAGCAGAAGAAAGAGATGGTGGGACTAGAGAGAGAGATGAATGTCCCCAGCCTGCTTTCTGGGGCTCTTACCACCTTAACTGGGAAAAATTGGATGACTCCAAGTATAATGACAAAAAGGCTAAGCTCCCAGAAAGTCCCAAGAACAGGTTGGCCTTGCCTGTGGCTGAGCAGCTGAGTGCTGGGCCTACAAACGTGGAGAACTCTCCAGGCCAGTATATCTGTGTGAGGGGTGTCAGAAGCCCTGGAACTGGAGTTACAGTCAGGTGTGAGCTGCCATGTGGGTGCCAGGAATTGAACCTATGTCCTCTGGAAGAGCAGCCAATACTCAACCACTGAACCGTCTCTCTATCCCTGATGCTACTTCTTTATGTAGCCACCATACTACTTCCTTCATAGTCTCAAGACAAACAGGTTTCAGGTTTATCCAAAGCTGAAGCGGAACAGCTTCCTTTCGCAAGACCATGGGAGAGGTGCTCCACAGATATCTTCCTGGAAGCACAACACATATTACAGTGTAACTAACAAGCAGTGCAGGTAGTTCACCTCTAATCCTAGCACTGTAGCTGAGGAAGTCAGGTCAAGAGTTTGAACCAGACTCTTGTCTATGTGGTAAGACCATCTCTCCACAAGAAAAAAGAAAAAGGGGGCTGGAGAGATGGCTCAGAGGTTAAGAGCACTGACTACTCTTCCGGAGGTCCTGAGTTCAATTCCCAGCAACCATATGGTGGCTCACAACCATCTGTAATGAGATTTGGTGCCCTCTTCTGGTCTGCAGCATATATGTAGGGAAAACGCTGTATACATAATTAATAAATAAATCTTTAAAAAGAAAAAAGAAAAAGCATGGGCTACCACTCGGGTGGAAGCTGATTGGTACCACAGCAAGCCGCTGGCCTTAGGTACTCCAGGAGGTAGCTATGACACCAGCAGCCAATGTTACCTCCAGAGAAACCTCATAACTTTCATGTATCTTTTAGCATGAGCAGCTTTTTAAGTGAGCCAGCATAAGAGGGAAGTAAATAATAATTTAATACCAGAATAAGGAACATGAAGAAGACCCAGCTCTGATAACTCTTGTCTCTCCAGTCAGCTGCCGTTAGCCCCAGTGGATGATACACCTGTGGTTCAGTTGGCAGCCGAGATCCTAAAAGCAGAAGGTGAGGTCCAGGTATGTATGTGTGCACAGATAGATACTATCACCATTGTTACATACTTGTGTAGGGCATCAAGGTGTAGTGGCACATACTTTTAATCCCCACACTTGGGAGGCAGAGGTAGGCAGAACTCTGAGTTCTAGGCCAGCCTTGTCTACACAGTCTCTAGGACAGCCAGGTATACAGAGTGAGACCTTGTCTCAAAGAAAAAGGGGCTGGAGAGATGGTTCAGAGGTCCTGAGTTCAATTCCTAGCAACCACATGGTAGCTCACAATCATCTGTAATAAGATCTGGTCCCCTCTTCTGGTCTGTAGGCACACATACAGACAGAACACTGTATACATAATAAATCTTTAAAACAAAAACAAAATATCATGGCAGAGAAGCCACCAGCAATCTTCTGGTGACAGGATGGGATACTACTATTTCCCTTTCCCTAGAGCTGCCTCCCCATCTGGGTTTATTATAAGGAGATTGGGTAAGGCAGAGCCTCCCACTCAGGACCTCACTGTACAAGGTGATGCTGACTTTCCCTCTAGGTGGGAATCTTGAATTCTTCAAGTACTTCAGTTTCCAAGAGTTTTCTGGACAGTGAATTGGTAGCGCCTCCTGCTGAGCCAGTTCTGGAGCCTTCTCATCAGGGACCAGAGCCTACCATGGATGGCAAACTGTTGTCGCCTCCTGCTGAGCCAGTTCCAGAGCCTTCTCATCAGGGACCAGAGCCTATCTTGGACCTAAAGGAGGAGAGCTTCAGAGACCCAGCAGAAGGTATGCAACCCTAAGGTGTCACCCAGTTTCCCTTAAATCCTGTGGATATTTAACATTCCTGTAGTTTGCAGGTAGTTATTCCACAGGCTGTTTCTCTGACTAGTTCACATGCAAACTTTTGTTCCTTCAAAAGATGAGATGTTGCGTTAGGGTTACTATTGCTGTGATGATACACTATGACCAGCCAGGCAGTGGTCGGTCATAATACCTTTAGTCCTAACACTTAGGAGGCAGAGGCAGGCAGGGTTCTGTGAGTTCAAGGCCAGCCTAATCTACAGAGAAAGTTCCAAGACAGCCAGGGCTACACAGAAGCCCTGCCTCAAAAAAACAAAAACAAAAACAAAACAAAACAAAAGAACACTTACTACTTTTCTTATAGAAGATCTGGGTTTGGTTCCCAGCACCCACATGGTAGCTCACAACCACCTGAAACTCTAGTTCAGGGAATCCAGTGTCCTCTTCTGACCTCCACAGGATTCTTTTTGTTTGTTTTGTTTTGATTTTTCCAGACAAAGTTCTCTGTAGCTTTGGATGTCCTGGAACTCACTCTGTAGACCAGGCTGGCCTCGAACTCTCAGATTGCTGGGATTAAAGGCATACATCACCACTGCCTGGCATTTTTACTGAATTGTTTTGTTTTTCTTTTGGTTTTCTCCACAGGCTTCTTTATGCATGATATTTACATAGCTCACGCAAGCAAACACATACACATAAAGTTAATTTTAAAAAAAAATGCATCAGGTGGTAGTGGCACATGCCTCTAATTCCAGCATTCAGGAGGCAGAGGCAGGCCAGTCTGCTTTACAAAGCAAGTTCCAGGATAGCCAGAGCTGTTATACAGAGAAACCTGTCTTGGAACCTGCCCCATCCCACCCCGCCAAAAAAAGAAGAGCGATCACACTCTGTTGAGTACTCGGGTGCACAGCCCTCAGTACCTGCAGTACTTGAGGGAAATGTCTACCATTATTTACCATTTCAGTTCTAGGTACCGGCGCTGAAGTAGATTACCTGGAGCAGTTTGGGACGTCTTCGGTAGGTGCTTAGCACTTGATGGCAGCCCCAACTGAAACCTGTGACCCAGTCAGCTGAGGCCATTTACGCTTGGTGCCTGGAGCATCCTGCAGTTCGTGTATAGTATCTGGTCATAGAGTCCTAACCCATGTGTCTCCCTCACTCCCAAATAATCCTGGACCCATGAGTGTGTGTTGTGGTCTCCTAACCCCCTTTGCTGGCTCCTGGGGTTGTGTCTGTTAAAGCAATGTTGAATCTTGATGATTGTTCATGTTCTTTCTCTCCTCCTCTCAGTTTAAGGAGTCAGCCTGGAGGAAGCAGTCTTTGTACTTGAAATTTGATCCCCTCCTGAAAGAAAGCCCTCAGCGACCAATGCCAGTTGTCCCAGTGACAAATAGGTATGTCCCTCCTTTGAAGATGTTCATACAAGCTAGGCAGACTAGTGGCTGTTACTAAGTATAGTAACTGATTCAAAAATTCTAGAAAAGGGTTAACTGAACTAGAATAAGTAATGGGGGTGGACAAACAGGATAATCCATGTTTTTTAATAAGGAGGGAGCTCTCCCATGCTCTCTTCACACAGGCCACCCAGGAGACACAAGCAACGCACAGTAGGGTACCAGAGTGGGTCAGTTCCAATAGTATTTGTTTTTATGAGTGGAATTCTTGTTCCACAGTCATGCCTGTTCTTTGATGAATCCCCTGTGACAGCTTGTACTATAAAGGCAGGTCTGAATGGTTGTGACAGAAGCCATAGGGCCTCCAAGTCTGACATTTATGGGAAAAATCCAGGCTAGTGTCTGCTACTTTGGAAAAAAATATAGTCAAAGTCATATTGAGAATTACCTGCTAAATCTAACACAAGACCCTTGAAACCAGAGAAGAAAAGATTTGCCACTTCTAACTAGGTATTCACCCTGTGTGCTCTGAAGACATCCCAGTAAGGTATCCTCCATGGCTGTGCAGCTTGCTATGAGAAATGAATCATGGCTCATAGGAAGAGTGAGTAGACAGGCAGGGGAAGGGGACATGAGCCAGTAACTCCAGGCCCGGTGCTACCTTCTAGCCTGTGTGTGCTTGTTTTTAGAGTAAGACCCAAACACAAAGCTTGTTAAGACAGCACAACTGATTTTATGCCCTATTCAATACTCATCATGAGGTGATCTTGCTGCCTGTTTGGTTTCAGTAAACAGGATGCAGATGAGCCTGGCTTGGGAAATCCAATAGAAGGCAAGCTTGTGGACTTAGATTTCTCAGGAGCTCCGGATGTTCCAGTAAGCACTTTATCATCATTGCAAATTTTGTGGTCTCAAAAGATGAATGAGATCTTGAGGGTTTATGTTTTACCCACACAGGTTCCAGGCCCACCCTTGTGTGTCCTTGAGCCTAGAGGCCTCCTTCTGACTGAGCCTTTTGAAGATGTGCTGCAATACAGCCAGAAAGACCTAGACGCACTGGTAAGAAAAAGCTGATGGCCGGGTAGTGGTGGTGCATGTCTTTAATTCCAGCACTTGGGAAGCAGAGGCAGATGGATCTCTGAGTTTGAGGCCAGCCTGGTCTACAAAGTGAGTTCCAGGGCAGCCAGAGCTTAACAGTGAAGTCCTCTCTCTTAACTTAAGAAGAACAAGAAGAAGAAAAATTGGAGGCTGTTTTGGAGGAGTAGCTGAGAGCTAGGTACAGGTCATTCTAAGTGCAGTTTCTACTCTGACCAGATACAGGCTGCTTACAGGAATTTCCGACATGCTTCTACGTCTCAGAAATCAATGAATAGCCCCAGGACAGGCCTGAAGGTTCCACACTGAATTTAGCTCTGTGGTACCTGCTGAATACAGCCTAGTGGAATGTGGTTTTGGCGCCCTCTTGTGGTTATTTGGCCAACACACTGAGAGATACTCCCTGGGTACCTGCTGGGTTCCACCACAGCAGGTTGCCTTCATTAACATGGCCAGCAGCCCTACTTCTTTTATGAATGGAGTTCCCATAGCTCAGTGGCATGATTCCAGAGACCTTGGATGTGAAGGAAACAATCCCTAGTAAGAAAGACACCCCACAGACTTGTGATTGTGGTCCACCTGCCAACCCAGGTATGTGGCTTCTAGGTGAATGCAACACAACAGGAGAACTTGGAGCTGAGGAGCAAGTATGAGGACCTCAACAGGAAGTACTTGGAGATGGGGTAAGACCGCAGCACCAGTGCTATGACCTAGTTCCACTTGCATGATAAGCCACAGATACTCATCTTCTCTCCTATAGGAAGATCATGGATGGGTTTGAGAAGATCGTGTACAAATCAATGGGTGAGTGCTAGCTGCATCCCTCCCTTTGTGTTCTGAGATAACAATATACCGCCCATTTCTTCTCCTAACCTGTGCTCTGGAGCCACTGAGGGTGAGGTTCAGTGAAGAGAGGAGGTACCCATGTGACTGACGTTCACTGAACAGCTGGCAGCCAGAGCTCTAGTGAGGTGAGGAACAGACACAGTGCAGCTTGTCACGCCATGTCCTGTCCTGCCTTCCCCTCCCCAGAGATGACTGCAAGTATCAGAGTGGAGATGTAGGTGTCCTGGTAGGGGTCTATGAAGCCGACAGTGGCCAGGGCAGGTCTTCCTGTTCTCCTTCCCCTGAGACCCATAAAGCACATGAACCCTAAGTCTACCACACTGGCACCTGCTTCTTCCAGTCTTGCTAAGCATCTTACCATAAGTATCTCATTGCTAGGTCCTGGGCCAAGCTCCTCATGAGGCTGACATGGAAGAAGCAGACATGTTCTAGACCTGTCACATCCCAGAGAACATGAAGGGGGAAGGGGGACTGTTGTGTTATGGGACACGTAGTAGTGTCCATACCTGCTGCACCCTGCTCCTGGCTCCCCATCTCTCCTGCTGTTCTCTCACCCCTTGTTTTGGGGCTGTTTATGGCATCCAGTATAATAGCTGCTTCCTAATTCCAAATACTTAACTTTTTAAGAGGAGGCTGAGAAACAGAAGGAACTCGCAGAAGACAAAATCAAAAAGGTTCAAAAAGAGAGAGACCAACTTATTGCAGACCTGAACTCCATGGAAAAGTCTTTCTCTGACCTTTTCAAGAGGTTTGAGAAGCAGAAAGAAGTGATTGAAGGCTACCAGAAGGTGCGTTGTATCCCCTTTGATCCTTGTTTTACAGGGCATAGCCCATAAGAGTGGGGCCACGCCTTTAATCCCAGCACTAGAAAGACAGACAGACAGGTGGATCTCTGTGAGTTCGAGGCCAGCCTGGTCTACAAAGCAAGTTCCAGGACAGCCAGGACTGCTACACAAAGAAACCCTGTCTTGAAAAACCAAAAACAAAAGGAGTGGGGCCATGAGCTGTGCTATTGTCCCTGATCCTGGCACCAGGCCAACGAAAAGTAGTTGATGTCCTATCAACAAGACAAACTGTATCCAGTAGGTTCTGGTGGAAAAGCACAGCCAGATCTGTGAAACACAGGTTTCGGCTGTTATGGAGCCTCAGAGGAGACTGGGGGTTTCCCCCATTCAGTGGTAGTATGCCTGGAATACATGAGGCCCTTGGCTCAATCTCCAGCAGCACCACATGCATGCATGCTCACAAAACACACACAACCTTGCAAGAAAAGGCAAACTGAGCCAGGGCAGTGGTGGCACATGGCCTTTAATCCTAGCACTCAGGAAGCAAAGGCAGGCAGATCTCTTGAGTTCAAGACTTGCCTGGTCTACAGAGTGAGTTCTAAGACAGCCAAGACTACACAGAGAAACCCTGTCTCAAAAAAACAAAAATGTCAGGTGGTGGGCAAACTGGACTTTCCCCGTGGTGTCTATGGAGGAAACAAGTCATTTTGGGAGCCAGCTAACTCCTGCTACATGACCCTCAGTAGTCAGCTTTCACTGTGAGTATGAGAGGCCCAGAGAGTGTGTGGGGAGCAAGGCTGCGTACATCCCACCTGATTGTGCTGCTGCCGTGTGCAGTGTGACTTGCACTCCTAAGTAGAAACTGATGCCGGGTACTACTCTAGGGGTCAGACCCAGATGTTTGCACCTTGAAGGTGGGATAGACGTAAACATACATCAAGAGGATTTTTCTAAAGGGAAAATGCCAAGTTCTGTATCACTAATGTCCCCAAAAGCCTTAAGTCTGCCCCTTCCCCTGGGACTCCCTATATGCCCAGACTGGATAGGCCTGTCTCTGATGGGACAGTGCACCATTAATGTTCCTGTCTGCTCATTCTCAAGAATGAAGACTCTCTGAAGAAATGTGTTGAGGAATACATAGCAAAGATTGAAAAGGAGGGCCAGAGGTACCAAGCACTGAAGGCCCATGCAGAAGAGAAGCTCAACCTGTGAGTACCAGATGCCCGTCTTGGGAGGGAGGCCTAGCTAACTTGTTACAGGGTCAGGCCTAACCTGTGTGTCTGTTTCTGCCCAAGGGCTAATGAGGAGATTGCCCAAGTGCGTAGCAAGGCCCAAGCAGAGGCACTGGCCTTCCAGGCAAGCCTAAGGAAGGCACAGATGCAAATCCACTCACTGGAGAAGACTGTGGAACAGAAGGTAGGGCACAAACTCCAGTCCCTGCTCCGGAGTTGACTTTGATACAAGGATTGCCTAGCCATATTTTTGTTTTGTTTTTTGGTTTTTTATTTGTTTGTTTTTTGTTGTTGTTGTTTAATTATATCCCTACTGGCCATTTCTTTCAGGAAGTCCAGAGCCAGCCTTTTCCTTTCTAGTCTCTTTTCCTACTTGAGATGGGTGGGACCTTCCTAGCCAGGTGCCACTCCTTCTGAGACCCTACAGAAACCAGCCTTATCTTTTCTCCTTCAGACTAAAGAAAATGATGAACTGACCAGGATCTGTGATGACCTCATCTCTAAGATGGAGAAGATCTGACTGCAACCAGCCATCACCAACCCTCTGTCCGCCCATTTCTTTGTCTGATTTGTCTTTTGTGTGTGGTCTTTAACCCCTATTCATTCCTAAGTTATATTACTTTGAAGACTAAAGTTTCTTAATTTCAAACTCAAAGTCAACCCAGGTCCTGTTGTTTATAACAAGCTCACTTGCCTCTGTTTTTCCAGGTAGTTCAGCTTGGCTGAAAGTATCTTTCTGCTGTCCTTATATAACATTGGTTCTCAACTTTGCTAATGCTGCAACCCTTTAATACAATTATTTTCATTGCTGCTACTTCTTTTTTTTTTTTTTTTTTTTTTTTAAGACCGGGTTTCTCTGTGACTTTGGAGCCTGTCCTGGAACTAGCTCGTGTAGACCAGGCTGGTCTCGAACTCACAGATATCCACCTGCCTCTGCTTCCCGAGTGCTGGGATTAAAGGCGTGCGCCACCACCTCCCGGCATAATGTAAACATTTTTTAAGGATTTATTTATTATGTGTACAGTATATGTCTGTGTGCACGTGTACAGTATATGTCTGTGTGCCAGAAGAGGGCACCAGATCTCATTACAGATGGTTGTGAGCCACCATGTGGTTGCTGGGAATTGCACTCAGGACCTCTGAGCCATCTCTCCGGCTCTCATTGCTACTTCATAACTAATTTTTGCTACTATTATGAGTTGTATTGTAAATACTGTGTTTTCCGAGGGTCTTAGGTAGCCCCTGTGAAAGGGTCACCTGACCCCCAGGTTGAGAACCTCTGTTATGGAATCCTGGGGGAGGAGGTGGGGTCTAGTGAATCTGGTTAGTTCAGAGACTTCCTAAAGCTGTTGAGTTACTACCTGGAGATTCTCTGAAGAATGGAATGTTTTGCCTCCCTTTAGAACATTCTGTATCTTAAGAAGTTTCCCTCCAAGATGGAAAGTTACCTCTTGGAATAACTGGCTACACAAAGCCCAGTTCTGGCCTAAGACTAAAGAAAGCCATTACTTATTCCTGTCAGCTATCCTGTTTCCCTGGCTGTGAGAAAACACTCTTGAGCCTGCTTATCAAGCATGGCGCGAAGCATGGCAGCATGCAGGCAGCCTTGGTGCTGGAGAAGGAGCATCCTGATCCTCAGATGGCAGGAGACTGTGTACCACACCGGGCGTAGCTTGAACATATGAGATCTCAAGCCCTCCATAGTGACACACTTTCCTCCAAGTCCACACCTCCTAATAAAGTGCCACTGGGCCTTTCCTATTCAAACCTAAACCTCACACACCCTAACCTTGAGACCTTGGGAACAAAAGCCAAATAGACCTAAGTTTCTATATAAAACCAAAAGCTAAGCAGCCAGGTCTTGATGAGTTCGCCGCTGAAGCTGCTGAAGTGGCACAAGCATATAGAAACACCAACATCTACATCTGTGCTGCTAAGGCAAACAGTCAAGACTCCATGGAGCAAGGAGCTCAAGCAGACGTCTCTGAAAAAGAATTGCTGTCTCAAGAGGGAAGTAGTAGCTCCCACTGATTTCTAGCTTTCCACTACCCTGCAGATGAAGGAAGCTGTGGATCGTGCTACACCAGGACAGACACTTAAAAGCTCAGTATCTAGAGCAGGGCAGTGGTGGTGGCACACACCTTTAATCCCAGCACTTGGAGGCAGAGGCAGGTGGGTCTCTGAGTTCTAGGACAGGCTCCAAAGTAGACCATTTCAAATCAAGATCAAGCAGCAACCAGCGTTAGCGCCCAGACCCCTGTGCCCTGTGTAGTGCAGGAGTGGGGCTGGGCACACAGCATGTGTTCAGCTTTAGAAAGCCCAGGAATTCTGAACAGGCATTGGCCCAGCCTCTGGTCCTAAACACAGCTGTGACCTAGTCAGCCCCCAGAACCATCAAGTAGGCTGAGGGGATCTGAGTCTGACTGAGACTCAGTACTGTTCATGCTGTAGGGGCTAGTATACAGTATACAGGGATATGCCCACGCCTGTGGCTCATGCTGTAGGGGCTAGTACACAGTATACAGGGATATGCCATGGCTCATGCTGTAGGGGCTAGTATACAGTATACTGGGATATGCCCACGCCTGTGGCTGAGTCTGAGGCAAAATGTTTCCTCTCAAAATGGAATGTGGGTCCCACCCAAAGAGAGACCCAGACCAAAGTGTCAGTCACTCCGGAAGTACGCATCCCTCAACCAGGACCTGCTGTGGGGACTGCCTGCTAATCTGCAACTGGGGGCTGAAAGTCCTCAGCTACCACCAGGAGTTAAAGCCATCTGGGTGTGTTACCATAGAGATAAGTGGGGGCCTTTATGGAAAACAGACTCAGAAGCTCAGTAGCCTGGGCCTCCCAGAAAACTTAAGTTGAACCTACTTGGAGGCTAGTGTCTTGCTAAGGCAAAAGGCCAATAGAGCTAGATAGGCATTCCTGGGACAGACACCTGGCCAGCGTTGTGGGGCAGATATCCCTGGATCTTAGGCCTCTGTGCTCAGCCCAATCTCACTACCATGTTCTCCCAGATCCGTGACCTTCTGACTGTCTCCTAGGACCATGCCACTACTCCTTGCCAAAGACTCATCCCACAGCAGCCCTACACAGATGGGACAAATACACTTTCACCTAGGGGTTCTTTATTTTTGTTGGTTTTCTGAGATGGGTTCTCCATAGCCCTGGCTGTCCTGGAACTAGCTCTTATAGACCAGGCTGGCCTCGAACTCATAGAAGTCTGCGGCCTCTGCCACCCAAGTGCTGGGATTAAAGACATGTGCCATCACTGCCTGGCCTTTTATTATCATTATTAACATTTTTTCCCATTTATTTTACATACCAACCAGTTTCCCTTCACTCCCCTCCTCCCCCGCCACACACACACCTAGGGGGTTCTTAATTGCTGAGTATGGCAGAGCCTGCCAGGCTCACTTCACAGACAAGGGTGCTGAGGCCCAGAGAAACGGCACTTGCCAGCTGAGAAAGGCTAGCCAGGTGCAGGACAAGGCAGTACCTCTCTCACCTGACCAGCTACCCACAAGGAGGGCAGCAATATGGTGGCAAAGTTTTCCTGCTGCTTGGGGTACTGTTAAACGCCTTGAGAGGTAGAAGGCTGTAGCCAGGCCTTCTCACTGGCTCCATCTGCCTGGCCTCTCCAGTCCTTCTGAAAACTGCCCTATCTCCTGCTGGGGCCTCTTCCAGCCAAGCCAGAGTCTGTCCAGAGAAAGTCCTGTAGGGCAGCTGGAAGCATTAGGGTAGCCAGCCTGGCCTGGGGCCATGCTGAGGACACCGGCAGCCCAGCAGCAGCCTGGGCCGAGCCACTTCAGGACAAAGAAGCCTTGTATGGCTGAATGGGCATTTATCCTGGGGGTTGAAGGGAGCCCTGGCACTGGTCCTCCATGAGTAAACATGACCCTAGCTGGGCATAAAGCAGCAAGGCCAGACTTCCGTAGCCCTGTGTCCCTTGACATTACACAGTGGGTGTTTGTGGGCCTCCTGCCAGGGCAGAACATGGGAACAGGGAATGCCCTAAAGGCAACTGGAAGGCAGCAGTGCACAGAAGTAAAACATCACAGAAACCCTTCCCACAGTGCCACAGCTCCCCCAGCGAGCAGTCCAACTCCTGCTGAAGATGACATGTGAGTCTCCCTACACATGTATGTGCTGAAGCCCAAGTCCCTGACAGGATGGTATGGGACCCTAGTGATCTGTAAGGTCAGATGAGAGGAGAAAAGCCTGACAAAAGGAGTGTTAGCCTACCTGTGGCGATGGCACGTCTTTAATCCCAGCACTCGGGAGTCAGCGGCAGGCGGGTCTCCGAGTTCGAGACCAGTCTGATCTACCGAGTAAATTTCCGGACAGCCAGAGCTAAAAAAACGAGAACTTGTCTCAAACCACCTCCATTCTGCCTCCCCCCCCAAAATAGTTGAGCTCTGCCATATGACCGTGGATAGCACAGGCCCAGGCAACTGCTTCCCCAGACGGTGAATGGGCTCTACCTAGCCTTTAGCCTGAGGGATCACTGTCCTATTTAAGTCCCCAACCCAACCCACGATGACTTTACTTTCACAGGCCTGGCAAAATAAGCCCATTCCTTTAATCGGTGGTCACAGGACAGGGTGGTGCTCTTGGAAGACTGAACCTCACCAGAAGAAGCCTAGTCACCTCTGGATTCCAAGACCACACAGTGAGTGGGCCCAAAATGCCTCCCTGGGTCAGACAAGATACTTTAGAGAGGGTTAAGTGACCTCTGCAAGTGGATCAATCTCCAAGCTGAGGATCATACCCACAGGATGGTGCCCTGCTCATCCACAGCCCCAGCTCCCTCCAGCCTAGGATGAACCCCAAACACTCTGGACCCCTCACTAGTAAAGTCTCAGCCTCTAGAAGGCCCTTGGTCGTGTTTGTGAGCAACACCTACACCTAAATCCTGAACTCTCTCTTCTGAATCCATCTCTGCCTGAAGTGGGATAAATCTATGTCTCTTGTCCTCCAGAGAAGGCCTCAGAGAGGCAGGACGTATAAGGTGGCCTCCCAGGAAAGAGAAACACACTGGAATGGGTAGACTCACCTGTACATCTAAAATGGGCTCCGCCTTTCTGGGGTGTGCTCAAGGATAGATCACAGAATTGAGGTATGTCAATCCCCACGGTGGCCCTATGTATGTAGGGACAGGCACATCTGTGCTGATACTACTCAGTGGCCTCGTTCCCTAACCCCAGGGATCCCAAGCCTTGCTTGCATTTATCAGCCATCAAGTCAGGCAGCCTGCAGGGGGCACCATTGGACAGGCCTGAGTCCCTTATGTGGCCCATGGGTGCTTTCTCCACCAAGCCAGCCCCATACTTCCAGGCTCCTGCACCTGGGTCTCTAGCTGCATACTTTGAGGTGCTGAGGACCCTTCTGGCCCTCTCATCATACCTTGACCAGCCAGCTATAGCTCTGATCATGAATGTCCTCGCCAACTCACTCCTCTCCTCTATCGGGAGGAACCCCCTGCCAAGCCACAGCCAAGAGGTTCCAGGCCCTCAAGGGTAGGGACTAGTCATAGCAGGCACCATTGCATGCTGCAGGACAGGAGTCCACAGCAAAATGAAACTTTGCCTAGGACTCAGTGGTGAGCAGATGTGACTACGGCATGCCAAGCTCCCACTCACCATCATCCATGCAGGGTCTCCTACCCTGCACCCCTTTACATTCCAAAGGAGGAGACCAGAACCCCCAGAAAACCCGGCATCAGAACCCCCAGAAAATCCGGCACCAAGTTCCAAACTGAAAGGTCCCAAGTATATGTGCAATGAATGGATTAATTACATGCACTAGGGCACTCACACACACTCGTCTCTTCTACTCAGGCCAGGAAGGAGTAGATGAGAGCCTCATGCCCCAGCAAGGCCGGAGTCCTGAAGGCGGTCCCTTGAAGGCCATCATCGCTTATGGGCCCTCTGTGTTGGCAGCATGGAGGTCCTGGCATTCACAGACATCCATGGAAACCAGAAATATTAATCATGCAAGGGTTCCTCAGTAGGGGAGGTAAATACAATACCTGTATTCCATGCGGAAAGCTGAGAGTGGATATGGCTAACTACCAGGTGAGCTTTTCGCTCACTACCTGTGCAGGAAGACCTTACCACCTTTTGCTGTAGAGACAAACCTCACTCAAATTCCCCAGAATGTTTATTTCAGACTCTTCCTCCCTATCTCCCAGTTAACAGAATCTACCCTTAGGGGAGACGTCACGTGTACTGCTGATCTCATGCTATCTGTCAGAGACCACACTAGACTCCAGGCCTTTTAGCCATAGAACCCATCCTCTTGGTCACGTGTACTCACACCATAAGCTTCACTGTACCTGGGATGGGAACGATTGCTGCCTGGAAACTTTCCCCCAAACTATACTGTACTTTAAATATACCTACAGTCGACTGCCTGGCATTAGACTCCTGAAATCTGATCCAGGCTGACGAACTCAATCTGAACCTGGTTTTCATTCTCATCTCTTTGAAAGCCACTTCCTTGCTGTGACCACCTGCAGGGTGCCCCACACCTCTGTAGCCTCCCCACCCTCACCCCTTCTGCCCACCCCTTAAACCCCCTTGGTGCCAACAGCCCCAATCTGGGCTAGACTTACAGGGGCCGTGGAGCTGCCTTCACAGGAAGAGGTGGCGGGGGTGCAGCCAAAACCGTGGGAGAAAGGATAAATTCATGGGGCGGGGGTGAGTCCATAGCAAGTTAACAAGAGCAAGAAGAGCTGTCTGACAGTCACCAGGGCCTTCCAGAGAGGAAAGGACCCTCAGATGGTAGACAAGCCACCTGCGGGCGGCCTCTGCTGGTGCGGTGCGGAAGCCAGGCCTATCAGCCGGCTCCTAGTTCTCCAAGGCATGTCACTCCTGGAGGACTGGGGGAATGTGCGGGGAATCACAGAGGGTTACACCTGGAGGGCTATTGTGGAAAGAACTGCAGGGCAGGTAGAATCCCAGGCCTTCTACTCAGTGCTTCTTAAGGTATCCTGGAATCCTCTGGGTTGAGCAGGAAGAACTGGGGCAGAGCTGGGCCGCAGATTAGCTAGAGAAAGCTCTCTGGGCATTGTCTGGTACACCATACACCCTCTACCAGGGCAATTCCAGAGCTGAGCCCATGAGGCCAGCACGTCATATTCTCCAGGTGGGGACCCAAGGCCAGGTCAACGGGCTCTGAAGCCTGGCACAGCGGGCCCTCCTGCCTGGGGTATCTGTCTGATGGCCTTGGAACTGCCCTCCCACAGAAGGCCAGCAGTGTCTCCCACCCAGCCCTTAAACAACTTACCCACAGTCACATAAGGTGGGGTCCAATCTCCAAGTGCCTGTCAATCAGGGACACAGCAGCCCATTGACCATTTAGCTAGTCTTACTAGCTGCCCTGGCCTAGAGGTCTTGAACCTGGAGTCTTCAAGAAGTCTCCCCACCCTCCCCAAGCTCCACAGGGAAGGTCCAGACAGCAGGGGTGACTTGGTATCAGAGAGTGGCACTCCATGTCCAGGGCTGGAGTCAGGCACAGACCCCCACTGGAAACTCAATGTCCCCATCAAATAATGAGGGCTTGGAGCCCAAGACTCTAAGAGTTCTGGCACCTTTGACTTTTCATTCCTATGACCTGTGTGAGCCCCTCCTATGTTCCAGGCCAGCACAGTGTGAAAGGGGAAGAAGAGGAAAGCAGACACATCCGGGACATGTTAATAGGACATATCACAAGGACCAGGGTAGGAAGAGAAGGCTGGGTGGCCACTAGTGCCCCCAGTGTTCTCATTGTGACCTCTGACCCCACACTCCCCTTTGGAGGCTCATCACTTTTCCACTCTTGAGCTCTGTTAATGGCTCCCCACCTAGGCCAGCCAGCACAGGCCCCAAAGTCCCTGAGTATTCAAAGCCAGAACAACCCCAGGCATAGGAGAGACCTTTCCCCAACCAGCGAGAGGCTAGCTGGGGAGCCTAACAAGACCCAGCTTCCCACAGCATTCAAGGAGATACCAACTCCAACTAGCTCATGGCTCAACCAGTAAACGGGTAGACATGGTGGCTATTGTCCATCTGGGAGGTCAGCTGGATAGAATCCGTCCACTTTATACTCAACCCTGGGCCCTGTGACACCTAGGTGCCCCCTACTCCCCATCCCAGGCAGGTAGAGGCCTCTGGGTGCTTCTCATCCTGTACCAGAGCAGGCAGCCAAAAGCAACCCAGCACTGGATAGGCCCAAGACGGAGTACCACTTACTCATGGGCTTCACTGAGGAGGCACCAGAAATCAGAAACAGATGGCCAGCCGTGTCTCCCACCCAGCCCTTGGGCAACTTATCCACAGTCACATAAGGGTGGGACCCCATGTGACAGGGACTGCCGGTCCCTGTCTGCCAGAAATATAGCAGCCATTTAGCAGTCTTACTAGCTGCCCAGGCCTAGAGGACCCATGCCTGGAGTCTTCAAGAAGTCTTCCCACCCCTCTAAGTTAAGGGACCCTTACTGCTCTACGCTAGAGATGAGGCACCAACAGCAGAGACCAGGCCTGTTTCCTGTCCCCCTCCACAGGGGGCACTATGAGCCAGACTAGTGTGTGTAGGGCTGGGGCAGTGCCCTTTTACCACCTCGGAGCTTCCCAGAGCAGCGGGAATGAGGCCTGCAAGACTAGGGTCTTTCTTCTAGAAAAGGCTTCAAATGCTGGTTAAGGCGTCATTTGTCCAACCTCCGAGTCTCCAAGAGATCTCTACTGGGAGGCCCTGCCTGGCCCCAGGACTGCCCAAGGCAGGAGGGCTGTGCCAGATCTGTGCTGCCCCAACGTGCCTGCTTGCTCCCTCAGGAGGCCTGATGCGCCAGGTGCTGCTCCTCTGCCAGGAACATGAGCTCACCTCGACCCTGGGGCAGGATGGGAGAGGCGTCCCCACCCCACAGGCAACGTGACTTGCCCGAGGTCACAAAGCCATCTCTTTGGTTCCCCACCCTGTCCTAACTGCCCACCCCCACCACTTCCTGGAACACTCCAGGGGGGCCCCCTGTGAGTTTCTCATAGAGTCTGGCCCCCACACATGGTGATATTGCCAGTCGGCTCTGACAGGGAGCCAGGGAGCAGAGGGAGGGTCCTATAGGCTAACTAGATGGGTTCTGTGTTCAGTAAACCGAGCCCTAGCAACTGGCTCAGGACACCAAAAGACGTGAAAGCAGGATGTCCCATCTGAGGCAGGGAATGCCAGCACTCTTTGGACCAGGCTTCAGGATGTCAGAGCCCTTTGGATCAAGGGGGGCCCAGGCCCCAGCAGAACCACTCCAGGCCGAGGGCAGAGGGTCCCTGGACAAGCAGAAGCTGGCAGTTACGGTTGTTGTTGTTGACGTGTTTTGCCTCTGCTCCTGCTAGCCAAGCAGGAAGTGCCAGGGGCTCTCCCTGCGGGCTGACAGCCAGGCCTCCTTAGTGTTTCTGGGAACCCCCCTCCCCACACACCCAGAAAACAGGAATGTACCCTTGCCCTGAGCCTAGGCTTGTCTGGCTCCCGGTGCCCCACCAGGCCCCGCTGCAGTGTCCCCCTCCTTCATCTGGGGGTAACTGGGTGAGGCCATGGCAGCCAGCAGAAAAGCTTTCCTGTAGTTGGAAGAATCTTGGGCCTCAAAAGGACTAGGACTCAGGCCAAGGAGAGGTGTGGGCTGGGCTGATAAAAGATGCTTGAAGGAGGAGGGGTTCATCTCAAGGAAAGGCGTGGAAGCCAAAGAAATGGACCAGGTGGTAGTAGGTCTGAGGTCTAGGCTGGGGCATTACCTACTTTCCCTGGCGGGTCCTCCTGCATAGCCATGCTCTGGACCCCATCTTCTTAAAGGCGCCAAGCCGGGACCTCAAAACCCAGCCCCTAACCTAACTCAGAGAGAGAACACGCAGCCTCTTTAGACCAACAGCAGTAGATGGAGAGAAGAGCCATGCTAGGTGGCCCGTGTCATGGTGGGAGGCATAAGCCACATATCTCTGGGCATTTGAGGCCAGGCTGGTCTACAATGCGAATTCGAGGACAGCCAGGGCTACACAGAGAAACCCTGCCATGGGGTGGGGGACACAGAGAGAGGGTGGGAGGAAGGGAGGAACCAGTAGAGTGACCATCACAGTAGGCTGGACCCACCTCTGGCCACCAGCTGTCATGAGGAAGTGAATGAGCCCTCTCTGCCTGCACATCCAGCACAGTGAGAGGCCTCAAGCCCCTCGTTGTCCAGTCCGGCAACTACCTGTGGAGTAGGAGGCTCTTGGAGGAGCCTGAGGCCAGAAATTCCTCCCAGACAGAGTTCATAGCTTCAGACCCTGCACTCCGAGAGCTTCCCGCTCAGGAACCCAGGATGTCCATCAAGTCATGGACAGGCACTTTTACACAGATGGACCAGAAACTGAGACAGGCTCAGGAATAGCCCACACCTGGAACTTGAACTTGAGGGTAGAAGAGGGTGGTCAGATTTCTGGCTGCAGGTCAGAGATACTGGGACCATGGAATGTTCAAACTGGGAACCTCAAGTCCAGAAAAGTGGCAGGTCCCAGGGAGCTCCAAGGTTGGGGTAAAGATGTGCTGGGGGCCATGTGCCGTGGTTGCATGGTCTCTGAGCCTTGGACTGTTTGGTGCTGGGATGGGGGTTCCTTTGGGCCCTCTTGTTTTTTTTTTTTTTTTTTTTTTTTTTTTTTTTTTTTTTTTTTTTTGGTTTTTTTTTTTTTTCCNTTTTTTTTTTTTTTTTTTTTTTTTTTTTTTTTTTTTTTCCCAGATAGGTTTTCTCTGTATAACAGCTCTGGTTGTCCTGGAACTCACTCTGTAGACCAGGCTGGCCTGGAGCTCACAGAGATCCGCCTGCCTCTGCCTCTGCAATGCTGGGATTAAAGGCGTGCGCCATCATGCCTGGCCCTTTGTGCCCCCTTAAAGGATTCACAGTGGGAGTCCTAGAGCAGCAGCTGCCAAGACCTGGGGTTATAACTGCCAAGCTCTGAATCTCAAACACTAGATGGAGCCCCTCTCCTGGCCACACCAAGTAGTCACTCCAGCCCTGTGGGGAGGTGGGTCCTCACCTCGGTTCTTGCTGAGAGGACTGCCCAGTACTGTGTCATTCAAGGACTTCTTCCTGTCGGGGAAAACCAGGCCTCTGTTGCTGGGAGGTTAGAGAGGGAACATGGCCAGGGAGGGTTTGTCAGTTCTCTGGTTTGAAAGACAGTGGGAGAAGGATGAGAGAGTCACACTGGGGACCTGTTTCTGAGCCAGGTGACTGGGGAGGAGGGCTGGGGGCGCG